AAATGCATTTGAAAAAATATTTTTTAAACAATGTGTCTATGTCAGTTTTCGTTTTTATTTGCAGCATTTAAGCACACAGCCAAAATTTGGTTTATTATTTGACATTGATGGTGTTATAATACGTGGTAAAAATGTGTTGCCACCCGTACCAGAGGCCTTTAAGCGACTCCAAGGGAAAGATGGAAAGTTTCGTGTACCAACTGTCTTTGTCACCAACAGTGGAAACGCTCTACGTAGCCAGAGAGCAGCAGATCTTTCTAAATGGATAGGATTCGAAGTAAAGGAGTCCCAAGTGGTCATGGCTCATTCACCTTTAAGATTATTCCAACAGTATCATAATAAACGGGTTTTAATATCTGGCCAAGGCCCGATTAAAGAGATAGCTCAGGAACTGGGCTTTCATAATGCAATAACTATTCAAGAATTAGTAAAAAATTTTCCATCCTTAGATTATGTAAACATGGCAAAGAGAAATCCATTGTGTGGTCCAGTGGATCCAAATTTCCCTAGCATTGAGGGTATTGTATTGTTCAGTGAACCAATCTCTTGGGAAACTCCGTTGCAATTGATGGTAGACCTTTTAATGACAAATGGAATGCCAGCTGGCTTACCCAGCGAACTTCCTTATCCTCACATTCCAGTTTTGGCATGTAATATGGATTTGTTATGGGTATCTGAAGCACCAATTCCGAGATACGGTCATGGCGCCTTTATGTTATGTTTGGAATCACTGTATAAGAAAATTACAGGAAAAGACATGATATATTCTGCTCTAGTCGGAAAGCCTGGCGAAGTTACGTATTATCATGCGAATCATATACTCAGCGAGCATGCCAAAAGTATTGGAATAAATCGTAATGTTGATACAATATACGCTATCGGGTAAATAATCTTTCACCTGTGAGATACGAAATTGAAAGATCGAATGGATAATGCATATTCCGTATTTTCTTTTTCAGAGATAACATTAACACCGATATTTTCGGTGCAAACTTATACGATAAGTACTTGTCCCGCTGTAGAGCGGAAAACGTGTTGGCGCCTCAGAAACTACAGAAACTACTTGGTAGGGACGTAGAACCACCTAGCGCAGAAGCTTGTATCAGTATTTTAGTTGAAACCGGAGTCCATCAACGGGATTCGAAGTTTATAGCGGAACACTGTCCCAGAGATTTTCTGCCAGTCGACGACAGTCTATGTAAACCCGCATTCGTAGTGAAAGACGTTGGCGAAGCGATCAATCTTGCGTTTAAAGAAGAGAAATATGACTGAAACGATGTACATAGGATATACTTAGCCTTGGAGTGTTCACATCCTAATATCGATTAAGAAACAAAGAAACAGATAACAATGTAGATTAACTTTGCTAATGTAAGTATTATATAAATTTTTGTTTTGCAGTGTTCTGAAGCCATATAGTGAAATTGATAGGGGAAAGAAAGGCAGCGACAGATAGGCATGATATATATATATATATTATTATTCTTTCTTAAATCATTCTTGACACTTCTGTCTGCCTGTTATTGAAGAAAAGAATTATCACTGTAATCGAGTATGAGTAGGACACCAGATAAAACTAAAGAATAGTCTTTCAATTTATTTAGATGTACTCAGATTTGTATGTATATTTGTTTCGATAATTTACATTACGAGTATTGTACGTAGAAGGATATACAAATATGGTAACTGTATGTATATAGGCAATTTTTAGTTTAACTTTTATCATATTATAGATGAATCATTATATATTTAACAACTTTACCAACTTTCCTATTTAGAACATCTCTGTATCGACTTATAATTTTATCACGCCTTGACGATGATGGTCACGCTAAGTACCAATCCCTGTCAATAATTAGAAATGTATTACTGAAATGATGCTCGAGTGCATTTAATTGAGCACTTGATAATAATGCGAACTCTACGAAACAACGTTTCTATCGTTCGGTCA